CCCCCCCCCCAATGTGCGAACGTTGAGGAGCAAATAGGAAGCAACTGAAGGACAGTTCTGCAAGGAATTTGTTTCAAAGCAACATTAAGCCTAAGATGGCGAGAATTACCCAAAACCGTTGGTTAGGAGGAATGAAATTTGTCAACGGAAGAGAAACTGAATGAATGAAAGACCAAAGAAGGAGTATTCTGTTCAGTTAACTGGGTTTTGATAAGACTTCTCTACTGGAAGACGTAATTGTGGCTCGGTTACTCATTCTGTGACTACATGTGAAAGTGTGTTACACTGTGTTGTGGGGTGAATGCATTACCACACCATTTTTTCATCTCAGAACACTCAGAATGAATAGTGGTTGTGAGCGGATCAACTTATCTTATTTAGTAAATCCTCATTCACTTTCAAATTTCAGCTATCAGCAACAATAGGAAGACACTAACCCTGATCGATAGTATACAGTACCCCAAGATATCAACCACAATCCAATACTCAAATGGTGTATCCGGATTTTTCGCTGCCGAAGTTGGTCTCCTCACACGTAATGTGCTCATACATGGCGACCCCGATTCGACCGTTCCATCGTCGGTACCCCAGTGCTCTACAGATTTTTCCACAGGTAAATAACTTGAGCTGCTTAAGACTGAATTAAATTAATTAGACTATCCAATAAATGTTGAAAATGTTTGATCTATGAATATCATTACCTCTCATTCTGACCAGTTACGCCTAGACTATAGTGAATAACTCCAATTTTGGACCCCGTATGTAACGCGCACCGGTTTTCCGGGGCGGGTTCAGTGCTTGTTCATTGTATATTGAGAAATGACGACAAACCACCGCTAACGTTTGAATACGGTGCAAACAGAACATATCACAACAGTATCTCAACGCGATGGTCTTTATTGTACACCTTACTGTGATGTACACCAGACGAGATGGAACTCCATGGTCACAAATACTTGCTGTTCAGTGATGTTGTCTAGTCACTGTCGCCGGCGAGCTTTAAACCCTGTGGAACGAGGTTCAAGCCCCACCACCGCCACCTTTGTTTCGGTTACCGACTTCCATCACTGAGAGGCAGAGCTTCGTGAATATGTGGTTCTGACGTACTTTTCTCAATACACCATCTGAGATTATGGTGGTAAACTCCGCCGGGAAGTTGAAAATCAAATCACCGTTACCTCATGCTGGTTGGTTACTTTCTTCCACACCACAATCAATCATCAACCCACTTGTGGATCCAACCCGTGATCTTGTTGCTTGACCATCGAATAGGTTCACTTGGTCAAAACATAACAGAGAAAAATCGTTCAGACTTCACCTTCACGCACATTCCTCAGGTCTTCCAGTCAACCATAAACTCACAAGCACTGGGGACGCTAAATGGGGATAGAATAATTGAAAAGGCAAATCGGTTCGGTTTCATCAATTCTAGGTGGAATACGTGACGAGACAGAAATTCATCGCACACGTGAGTACATCACTTATGGGGGCGCTCACCGGTGAGAATTCTTCAAAAAGTGTGGATTATCAGTAGACGATAGTTGTAAAATGGAAAAGATTATACTAATTTCAAGTGTATCGAAGAACTTAAGCTTCCAAAAGAAAGCTTTTGGGTTAACTCAAAGACAAAATTTTCTGGAGTTCAAATCTCAGACGGATATGCTCTACTAATGAGCTCTAATAAGAGCGAAACTCTAGTCTAGTGTTTTCGACTATGGTTGTTTGGAACAGATGAGGAATTTTAAAAGGATGGTCACTTCTAATCAACTATTCAATAGCAACTAACCTACAACACTACTTACGAGTAATTGCGAGGTAAATTCGAGAAACCTATCTTCCTTACAAGTCTCATTGAGAGCGAACTGCCTAGCTCATCGCGGTTGCAGCATGTGGGTGGCAGACTGTCTGATCTAGAGTATGCAGACGACAAGGTACTGCTAACTGAAAATCCAGGTAAGTTGCAAGCTTTTCTGGATACTTTTAGTGCTAGTGTAACCATGTTCGAGATACATTTCCCACCTTCGAAGTGTAAAATGTTACTACAAGACTGGGTTGGTCCAGCACCAACNCCAACCCTCACTCTAACTGGGAAAGTAATAGAGCAGGTGGATAAGTTTTGTTATTTGGGCAGCTACATTTCACCCGGTGGACGCATCACGGATGAAGTGTCAGCTCTCAAGGCTCGGTTTGCATTTGCCAACTTGAGACATCTGTGGCGCCGTCGCGACATCCGGCTGTCTATGAATGGTCAAGTGTATGCCTCGGCAGTTCGGTCAGATCTGCTATACAGCGCAAAACCTGACCATCAGGGAAACAGGATAAAGGCAAACTGTCGGTAGTTGAGCACCGCTTTCTACGCAGCATTGCACGAATCTGATGGGGCAGCCGGACGAGCAATACTGAGGTTAGGCGTAGAGTTTTGCGTAATTGCGGTCGCCCACTGAAGCAATTGGCTTACCTTTATAGATTACTTTGGTAATCGAAATAGTACTGAATGTAGGAATACGAGAACTCGTGCTGTAATGCTCAGAACTGGATTGGCTTCAACCCGAGCTGCGCAGAGAATTGGTAGCAGCAAATGCTTACATTTAGTGATAGAATTAGAACATGTTTTATGGAAAGATAATAGGCTGTGTGATTGTTTGAAAGACCGTAGTCCAGTCATATAACCGTTTGCGCTTTCCCATCACATTTACTAACTCAGATGTCATGTTTGCCCGGTATGTCATTGGCCGGGCTTCTTGAACGGTGATTGGATGACATGAGTCTATATACCTGGGGTTGTGGTCAGGGAAGTCTGGCTCACCACAATCACGCTGGCTGGGGCATGTGTTACGCATGTCACCAGATAAGTTACCACGGCGAGCGATGTCCGCCAAAACAGTGAGTGAAAAAAGCCAAGAGTGGACAAGCTAAGATCTGGCACGAGGTTATGAGAACCTAAACCAGGGAACTGGTTCACATATGTCGCGTTATGCTTCCTGGATGGTGGCCTCAAAATGGTCGTACCCGATGGTTGGAGACACTGTATTATATGGTGGAGTATCGTAAACACTAGCACTTGTTCATCTGTTCAATTTATTAGCAACATTAGTTCACTGAACTTCTCAATGTTTTAATCGACTCTACTTTTAACTTTATTGTCTTTCTCCCATTGTTCATCCAAATTGGCGGCCAAAAGACAGCAATCAAAAGCGGCGCACGAAATTGCATTGTGAATGATTGTACAAGCTGAACTGAACAGAACACGTAGAGACTGTGGTTCAACTTGGCAGCCAATTCATTTAGGAGAACTGAGCCTCGGCTGATTTTAATTCATAATGCGTTGAAAGGTTGAGGAACATTTTTTAGTTATTTGTGCGTCATTGATTGTGTGTACCCTAGGATCGTTTTATTTTACGCAACCTATGTTTCAAATCAGACAAATTGCGCATTCGATGATCACATGACTTCCATGAATACTTTTTTATGAGTTTTCTGTCATACTTTTTAGAGCATGTCAAACACTGGGTGCTTTATTCCCATCCATCTGTGAATGATAAAAATAATTAAAGTATATCTCAAAACATCTTACTATGCAATAGAGAATATCTCCCCCTTGTTTGGACTAATTGCTATTCCCCGCTCTTGGGAAATCTCACCTCGACAACCAATCACAGGACAATTCGCGACACAAACTTGCTATCAGGGCAATCCAACCGACCAGATGGGTGAGGATCAGTTTGGTGGACACGTACACATCGGTGGCCCGGTGATCAACAGCAATTCGGTTCGCGCGCATATCTCCTATGTGGAGTTCCACTACATGGGCCAGGCCTACCGTCTGGGACGATATCCAATTCACTTTCATCTGAATGGTATCATGCGTGGGTAAGTTTGTCTGTTTTCGACAGTGGTATCGTTTGACAAACCTACCAAATAAGATTTGGTTTGGGTGGATGAACCGGCGAGTTGAGGGGAGAATGTTTGTCTTTTTCATTTCTTCCTTTTTAATACGGAAGGATACCATTATTCAGGAAGGGGGGAAGCGGCCAATCAAAGGGTTGTCACTCAACACATAATGGGGAAAGTCAGGCGATGGTGGTGGTGGTGGGATTCGAACACACACATCCCCGCTGGGTGCTAATCTGGTGTCAATCCAAACATGAATTCTACCCACCAAAACAAACGGTCAAGGTCCGGCAACACACAATGCTTGTGGGAATAATCGACCATACGGAAATCCGGAGATCAATGCATTCCAGCTCCTCAGAGGATACATTTGACGGACAGGTTTGAAACAAACCAACACGGTTTTGAGATTTAGCCTTGCTACTACTGCTTGAGGTGTATACAGACAGAATGGGTGTTTTACACTTGGAATGAGCCTATTGGTCACAAAAGCCATGGGCAAACACGCCCTGACTGACTAACGTATTTCTTCGTCCAACAGTTTTTTTAAAATCGCATTTGTCCGTTAGCAGGTGTGCATTTATTAGAAGCAAATTGGCCGAAAAGAGCATCGTTGCGTGCGCAAGGCGTGCATGAACCAGAACCAAGTTTGAGGTGAAGAACATCGATCCTCACGAGGCCGCTTTTTATCGTCATGTTACCAGCTCAGAAGATTGGCAACCCCTATGTGAGCTATGCAAAGCAACATTGAGTGACCGATTGTACATATGGCTATTAGAAAACCACCCTCTTTGCAACTAACGTTCAAAGGTGATAAAGTTTACAATGACTGAGAGCTGTGCATGAATTTCACCACGACCTCAGCATTACCGTTCCACCTGAAAGATAAGCTGCCCCTCACGAAGTATCCATGTACCTTTTCGCGTTCAGTTGCTCCTGTGGAGCAAGCCACATCGGTCGAACTACGAGACAGCTATCAAAGAGGATACGCGAACCTCACTCTTCTTTGGATGAGATGCAGTGAAACTAGGACGGAGAAAATCGCTATCTGCCAACAAATGCCGGAAACACGGCACACATTTACTGCTGATCCGGCTTTCGGTATCATTGATGACACACCGCGACCTCAGCCAAAATACTTTTGGTTTATCATTCTGTGCACAGTTGAGTGATAGCTATCCAACCTTTGGATCCTCGTTCCTCCCTATGCAATGAAAAGCAGTTCATTTGGGCTTTGGCTTTGTCATGACCTTGGATGAAGAAACCCAACAATACATCCACAGGGGACACAGCAATGACCTAGCCGAGATGAGGATCAGGTAAACATATGGTTTTTTGAGACCAAAAACCAGATCAATGAACCCAAATACATGAGGTGGAAATGTTTGGTATGACCGACAAAGAGCACCAGGACAGCTGTTCCGTCCTGTTTGGGACTCGCCAGTAGTGTGTACATTTTGTATCCCAGTGTTAGGACTCGAACTATGAACATTCGGGCCGGGACTTTAAACTTTTACCCCTGAGCTACACAGAGTTAAACCCACACCAAAGATCATCAACAGTGCCTGGTGCCTGTGCAAAACCGAATGGGCTAATCTAAACATTCCAGTCTGAACTCAAGTAACTCCCAAATAATTGACGAATTTAACGAAGCACAGCTTGTTTCGCCCGCCGGACTCTGGTCTCAACATTGAGAAGATTCAGGCTTTTTCCATTGAGAATAATTTGAACCGGGTTGAAGTTGATACGAAGTTTGTGATAAAGTATCAAATGTTTTACCATAGACAAGTAGAACTTTTTAGACCTGCGTGAGCGGATGGTCGAATCTCACTCACTATATTAAGTGATTGCATATCTGTCTATCTGCCTGTATTAAATGCTACTCCGAATTTCGTACAAAGACCTTAGTGTACTTCCAACTGAAATGTTTTGTCAGCACGTTACTCTCTAAGAACTCTCATTGCATACAGTATGTCTCTATTGATAATTTTTATAGTGTCCCCAAGAAGCGGTTGGGCTTCATAAAAAAACTATGAGAGAAAATTGATGCAAAGACAAAAATTACCGGTTGGTCCACGTGATGAGCAATCGAAAGTACCAGAATGATCAGGTGGTCAAACACTTGACCTCGGCCAAGGTTACACGGATCAAGAGAAATAGGTGAACATGTAGCACACATGGGGTGGCATGAGCTAGAACAAATCAAAAGGTGATAGTTCTCAAGTTTAGGGAAGAAGACATTGGGAAAAATGGAAAATAACACAATGCGGAGGGCGAAGGGTGTCAAGGATATTGATTTTTACAAAACACGCTCCAAGTGTCAAAGTCTGCTATTCGGTTTGTGCAATGAACTTTTTCATTTCATCGGGATATAGTGAGAGTCAAATTTATCACCCTCTTTCAAAAAGATCACTTTCTTAATTCAGTTATCTGTTTGATCAAAAATTTTCAGAACTTACGTGAAAGGTTGCGCCATCCACAACACTTTCAATCGGGCTGTGAATATTCACAATACACATGAGGTATTGATTGAGAACAATGTGGTCCACGATGTGATGGGCGGGGCCTTGTTCCTCGAGGACGGTCTGGAACAATATAATATCATCCAGTACAATCTGTTCGTACATGTGAAGAAAACAAACAGTCTATTGAACGATGATGTGGTGCCCGCCGCGTACTGGATCACTCACCCGAACAATATTGTACGTCATAACGTTGCCGCGGGTGGAACAAATTTTGGTTTCTGGTAAGTGAATGCCACAGAACATCGTTCGCCTCAAATTGAGTTATTGTCTTTGTACTATTGTAAAATCACATCACAAGTTAAGTTCAGATACAGCGCAAATCGCGAATACTGTTTAAGCTTCTGTGTTTGGACACTTATTCTTTATATTGATTTGAACTGACTATCCTTCGGAGTTCACCTTCGCGCAAGATACTCAGTTCATCCAATCAACCATACACTGGAGTTTCGCTCTTATTCCAGTTAAGTTGTTCAGATGTTACAACCATTACTCATGCACTTTCGTGCGCCGGTTTTGGTTACTGTCTTTTGGTTGCCCATTTGGATAAAAGACCGAAATGAAGATTGGAATATCAAAGCAAATTCAAGCAGCATGCACTCGACCCTTCACAGACAGCCGGATGTCGCGACGGCGCCACAAATGTCTCAAGTTGG